AGCGATCACTGTCCTCTCTTGCATGATGTCCAATGTTTTGAGAATCATTGTTTCATATATTTTATTCAGTTATATAGTTGTTTCAGCCAGGAGGATAAATCTGGTCACTTGTACTCCATCCTAACTAGATACGGAAATTCTCCAGACATGTTGATATCATGTCACATTTGGGTTTCTGCAAGCAGTCAAACTGGGAGATGATGTAGAGGTTGTAAGGGAAGCATAACGATAGATTATGAGATGGAGTAAGGTACAACAAATCTGAGTGAGACAAGTAGGTATATCATGGTGGGATTTAGGGTATAGGATTGGTCCAAAGTAATTCTCCAGAACAGCCTGATTGTATAGGGACCACCTTCGATGGTATAGTTTCCAATCTCCAGTGGCCGGGGTTCCACTAGTCATAGTGACTCAGCCTTCTGTGTACCTTACACAGTTAGGCCATGCAGGATACCAAAATGAATGATATGGAAGTTTGCCTTAAAGGAACTTAGTGTCTATTACAGGCGATATATAACTTTGTACAAGATAGAAAATGGTAAATTTGATAATAGGAATATGAATAAAATAAGAATTAAGAAGAAGAAGACATTACTTACAACAGACATTTTAGTAAGCACCAGGCATTGTACTTGGTGCTTTATATTGTTTGGTTAAAGCACTTGGCATTTTGCCTGGCAAAAAGTAAGTAGTTTCTTATTATTATAGCTAAGACTGGTGGTTAAGAGCATGTGCTCTGAAGTTGGGCAGTTTTGAATTTGAATCCCACTTTCTCTTAATTAGCTGTGTAACTTTGGATAAATTAATTAAACTTTCAGTTCTTCATATTTTTCTTTCTTCTGAAGAAATAGTAGTAGCTACCTAATTGAACTACTATGAGGATTTAATGAGGTAACCTATGTTGAAATCTTAGAAACTGTAACATACCAATCAATATATGTTCATTTTTATAATTAATATTAATAAAATTTTAAATCCTGAAAGTAAGCATGATCCTTATTTATTTATTTTTTTAAATAAGTTTTACATCCAGTGTGGAGCCCAACATGGGGCTTGAATTCATGACCCTGAGATCAATATCTGGGCTGAAATCAGGAGTTGGATGCTCAGCCAACTGAGCTACCCAGGTGTCCCATCCTTATTTTCAAGATGATATATCTGTTAGGGAGTGTCTTTGGCTGCATGCAACAGAGACATGATTATGGTGGTTTAACCAAATAAAGGGGTCTTATTTTTTTATGGAACCAAATCCGAAGGCAGTCTTACCAGGGCTGGTATGGTGGTTCCATGTGGCCACCAGGAACCCAGTCTCCCTTAATCTTTTCATATAACCATTTCTAACATGTGGCTATCATCTATGTACTTGTTGCTTTTTGGTCCATGATGGTTGTTGCTCCACTTCCAGCGTTGATCAGAGTTCAGACAGGAAGAATGGAATAAGCAAAAGCCCTGTGCTGGGAGAGTGAGCCAAAGGTCTTTTTTAGAAGACCCATCAGCAACTTCCACTTTTATCTAATTGGTTAGAAGTGTTATGTGACCACCCTACTTATAAGGGCTGCTAGGAAATGTAGTTCTTTTAAAATCTGGACACCACCCCGAGAAAAATTATATTTTAGTAAGACAGAATTCATTGACTATCATTTAGGCCATTAATGGTGTCTCCCACAAATGGGAGAACTGAAATTCAGAAATTCAATTACTTGCTTGAGGTTGTTAAACAACTATTAAGTGATAAAGTTAATATTGGTAGCAAGGTCTGCCCAATACCTTTCCACATTCCTTTTGCCACACAGTCCAGAAAACAAGTGATCTTTCATTTTAGGATCTTTGAGTTGGATCTTTCATGACAGAATATGGACATGAGATTAAAATGCAGATGTATAGAATTCAAGGAGCAAGTAGAAATAATTATATGGCTTATTTGGGGATACAAATATAAAGTTCATTTTGATGAGAACTTTAGGATTCAATGAAGGAAAGAAGCTGGGGAAAAGACTGGAAAGATGAGAGAAAACTTAAATGGTAGAAATTCTAGAAGGCCAGACTAAGAATTTTATATTTTGCTTAGTATGTGTTACATTTAAAGTCTTATTGAAATGATCCATTAAAGGAGCCCATTGAATCAAAAAGCTTTCCTAGGGGCACCTGGGTGACTGAGTCAGTTGGGCATCTGCCTTCGGCTCAAGTCATGATCCCAAGGTCGTGGGATGGAGCAGCCCTGCATCTGGCTGACTGCTCAGTGGGGAGCCTGCTTCTCCCTCTCCCTCTGCCTGCCGCTCGCCCTGCTTGGGTGCGCTCTCTCTCTCAAATAAATAAATAAAATCTTTTTTAAAAAAAAGCTTTTCTAAAATCTGGATGAAACTTTAAATTTCACAGATTTCTGAAGGTAGGTATAATGACCAAATGGAAGTGATAATTTTTTGATTACGATAATAAAATTGTATAACAAATTTCTGGCCTTGACTACTGTATCTATAACTGCTTTATAGAAACTGTTGGGTTGGGACACCTGGGTGGCTCAGTCATTAAGCGTCTGCCTTCGGCTCAGGTCATGATCCCAGGGTCCTGGGATCGAGCCCCTCATCGGGCTACCTGCTCAGCGAGAAGCCTGCTTCTCCCTCTCCCACTCCCCCTGCTTGTGTTCCCTCTCTCGCTGTGTCTCTCTGTCAAATAAATAAATAAAATCTTTAAAAAAAAAAAAAGAAACTTGGGTTTTTACATTTATGTTCTACAAAGACACTCTAAAATCTTAAAGATGGACATTTATTCAACAAAACAGACATATTTCCTGCCCTTTTGGAGCTTACATTCCATGAGAGGGAGATAGATAAATAATAAACATAGTAAATAAGTATATATAAACATAAGCACATTATATATATTTATATTAAATATATGTACTTAAATGTATTATTGTATGTATACTATATACTTATACATTAGGTTGACAAGTGATATAGCATAAAAATGGAGCAGAGAAAGAGGGACATATAGAGTTAGTATGGTAAGAGTTGCAATTTTTAAATAGGGCAGCCAGAATGGGCCTCATTGAGAAGGTACATGCAAGCAAATTCTTAAAAACAGTAAGAGGGTCATTCAGATACCATGCAGAGCAGTGCAAATAAGGGGGAACTGCAGGATTGGGCAGTATTCATTAAGCCTGAAGGTCAGCAACAAGACTAATGTGGCTGGAGTGGAGTGAGCAAGTGAGAGAATACTGGGAAATGAGATCAGAAAGATAATAGGGAGTCCGATCATGTAGGGTCTTATAATCAATCCATCATAAAGATTTTGGCTTTTACTCTGAGCAGAAATGGGAAGCCATTGCCAAGTTTTGAGCAGAAGAGTGAGAACATAATATGACTTACCCTTTAAAAGGATCATTTTGGGGATGCCTGGGTGGCTCAGTCAATTGAGCATCCAACTCTTGATTTCAGCTCAGGTCGTGATCTCAGAATCATTAGATCAAGCCCCACATGGAGCTCCATGCTCAGAGTGGAGTCTGCTCGAGATTTTCTCTCTCCCTCTACCTCTGTTCCTCCTCCACTCTCTCTCTCTCTCTCTCATAAATAAATAATAAATAGGTCATTTTGGCCATTATGTTAAGAACAAACTTTATAGTTTGTCTGTCTCTCCCTACTAGATTAAAGCTGCAGGGGCAGGGATCTTTGTCTTTTTTTGTTGTTGTTCATTGACAGTGGCAGATGCTTAGAAAATATTTTTGAATGAATGACCATCCAGATTTTAGATTTTAGAGTGTCCTTATAAAAAATAAATGGAAAACAACCTAAAGAGAGAAGGGAAAGTTGTTGAGGAAATTGCTGAAGAATTATTTTTTAAATTATGTTAATCACCATACATTACATCATTAGGTTTTGATGTAGTGTTCCATGATTCATTGTTTGCGTATAACACCCAGTGTTCCATTCAGTACATGCCCTCTTTTTGAGTAGGAGAAAGGGGATCTAGTGTCTAAGTAAAGGGCTTGACTTTAGATAGGACCATGGATACCTTATCTATGGATAGATGACAAGGCAGACTACATGGGTAAAGATGCTGGTAGGGGGGTACAAGTGAGAGTGGAAATTCTCTTGATTGTTTCAGTTTTCTCAGTGAAATAAGAGGCAAGGCCCTTAGGTAACTGTGAAGATGGGTGTGTGGGGGAAGCATGTGGAGGAGAAAAGCTAGTATGAGAGTAATTAAGCAAGGGAAATATAATATTAATGGTTATTAATGATTAAGGGTTCATTTAGGGTTCATGTTCATAAATTGAAAATTAGTCAGCATGTTTGTGTGTTTTTGTCCAGTCATGATCAGCAGTGGCTGAGTGTTTATTGAGAACCAGACACTTTGTTACCTGCTGGCTATATGAAAGATTAATAAAACCTAATCCTAGCCCTATAGGGACTCACGGTGTAGTGGCAGGCAGGTTTTTTTAAGATTTATTTATTTCAGAGAACACACATGCAAGGGAAGGGGCAGAGGGAGAGAATCTCAAGCAGACTCCCTGTTGAGCTGGGAACCCTATGTGGGGCTTGATCTCACTACCCTGAGATCATGACCTGAGCTGAAATCAAGAGCTGGCTGCTTAACCAATTGAGCCACCTAGGCACCCCATGGCAGACAGTTTTTTAATCAACTAGTTATAAAATGGTGTGATAAGTACTTTCGATTCAAACAGAGGAAAAAGCATTGTAAATCAAAGAAGTTCCAGGCTAGTGAACAATTCAGGTTATGGAGGGAACAATGGATTAGTCTAAGAAGGCAAACGATTGTGAATCACTTCCAAACTCTTACTTCCCAGTGTCCAATCAAAAAGGTATTATGTATAAACTTTGTATAATTCCAATCAGATTCTCTGCCTTGCAACTCATCTTAAAATAGATCCCAGAACTCATAAATATTGCACGTCTGACTTCCCCTGTGAGATACTAAGACTATCCAGATAGTATTCTCCCGTACTGCAGTAAGCAAAAACCTCAGTTTTGCTTTATCAACAGGTTATTTTGGAGGTATTTTAAAGGAGCCAGCATTTGACGGTCTTGGAGGTCTTATCAAAATCTGGTCACCTTGGAAACAGCATGCTTTTCTGAGGCCTTTGAGCCTCCTGCACAGGGTCTCTCCAATGACAGTGGTGAGGTAAGTTCATATTGGGTTTGAGCTCTGATTTCTAATTTTTTCATCAAATACCCCAAATGCTAGTTTTGTTTAGTTTGAGAGTGGTATCTAGGAATAAACTCTTTTTAAAAATCCATTGATTGATCAGGTTTGAAAAACTTTTATTTGGTAGAAATCTACATTATTACTGTCAATACTACTGTTTGTTTGTCCTTGTCATTTCTTCATTGTGCATCTATAAGAGGAAGTTCATAGGGATGAAAATGGTTGTAAATTTATAGGTTCAGAAGGTTTCTCTTCAGACTGCCATCCTTTGGAAAAATTGTCTCAAGTCATTTATGAAAGTTTTATAAGAATTTTTCCCACTCTTGTTTTGTCCATGAAAGTCTGGTTTTCTTTAGGAGGGGGCCCCAAGATTCAAGGTTCACATTTGGCTAAGTGTTGTCAGACTCATAGGTTTATCTTTAGTTTGGTTCTGTAGCCATTCTGGACTGGACTCCCACATGTTAAATGTATTTATGCTAGAATCAAAATGTGTTTTGTTGCTTTATAAATGATAAAAGAATTACTTGGAATTATTGTTTTTTGGGGGAACTTCTGATATAAGCAAAACTGTTCATTTGGGGAGGTACTTTGAAGCAAAAAGGAAGCAATATCCCAAACATACAGTTGTCTACATTTTAAGGCAAGAGGAAAATTCCAAAATATATTGAGGGATTATGAAATTGCCTCCTTAAAAGATTCTTTGGCAAAGGCAAGAAAAAAATATGAAAAATTTAGAACTGTCTTTTCTAAATCCTTTAAAATCACAAGTTGAACATGATCCCTTTATTCTTCTATTCCACTTCCTCCTATGTTCCTGCATTCCCCTCTGTTCTGTCTCTCCTTCTGACTTTTTCTCCTTCCCTTCAAAATGCCCCATAAAGAGATAGTTTTATTCCTCTAAAAGAGAAAGATCACTTTAATATAAGAAATACCCTCTCATTTTTATACTTAAAGTATTAACAATTACTGGAGTTTTTATCGTATAAAATCAAATTGTCAAGGTGCCTAAATTAATGTTTAAACCAGCTGTAATGATGGACGCCCCCTCTCTCTCCCTCATCCTCTTGTGTGCATGTATGTCAAAATAGGTTTTCCTGCATCTAAACTTTCCCCTCTCTTTAATTAAGGAGAGATAATTAGTCTTTTACAATGGTAATTTTGTCTTTGACTGAAGCTGGCTCCCTCTCATTTTTAATTTCTATTCTTCTTTTCCCTCCTTAGGGAAACATTAAAGATTAATTGATGAAAACAATTATTCTGTCATTATGTGCTCATTCTAGTCTAATGAAGAATTTCTAAAATAGAAAAATCATTAAACTGTGTTGTGTTTCTTTTTCTTCAAAATTGTTTTTAAGAGATATTTCTGGTTAAAACTACAAGAAAAGGGGCACCTGGGTGGCTCTTTTGGTTGAGCGTCAGTTCTTAATTTTGGCTCAGGTCATGATCTTAGGGTTATGAAATAGCGCCCCACCTTGGACTCTGTGTTCAACGCAGAGTATGCTTGTCCCTTTCCCTTTGCTCCTCCCCATGCTCGCTCATGCTCTCTCTCTGTCTCTTGCTCAAATAAATAAATAAAATCTTTAAAAAACTGCAAGAAAAGAAAAAATCTTGGTTCCAAGATGAAGGACTTTGAAACAGGATTTAAAGAGTTTTTATAATTTCATTTATGAATACAAAGTTTATATGTCATGCAGAAACTGTTCATAAAATATTCCTGATAGAGGAATCATGGACAAATTAGAATGAGTTAATCATACTGGTTTAAAGGATTAAAAACAATTATCTTCCTGACTTTAATATATTACATTAATACCAACACAATATGCTAGTTTATACAAGAAGATTGAACATCTCATAATTTAAACTTTATATATTTCTTGCGTTGGTTTTATGGGACACAATATTATCATTATTTCTACAAATTATGCTACAAAAATGTGGAGTCATGATTAACTAGATAAAATTGTAATGATAGATAACTTTTAAAAGTTTATAGTCTTATTTCTATAATATCAAAAATCTTAAGAACTTTATATTAGGGGCACCAGGGTTGCTCAGTAGGTTAAGTGTCTGCCTTCGGCTCAGGTCATGATCCTAGGGTCCTGGAATTGAGCCCCGTGTTGGGGCTCCCTGCTCAGTGGGGAGTGTGCTTCTCCATCTCCCATTGCTCCCCCGCTTGTGTGCTCGCTCGCTCTCAAATAAATCTTTTTAAAAAAAGAACCTTATATTTAACTAAAATGGTAATTTCTAGTTCCTTAGCTAACTTAAAGACCTTAGACAAAGGTTAAACTGAGTTAATTGATACATAATTTTTGAATACTTGGACAAAATCTAAAGAAAAAAATGAGTGACATTGGCCACAAAGCAGTTTTATTTTACTGTTATTCTTATATATTTAAAAATAGATACAGATTAGGGCTCCTAGCTGGCTTAGTTGGTAGAGCATGTGACTCTTGATCTCAGAGTTGTGAGTTTAAGCCCCACATTGGGCCTAGAGCTTACTTGAAAAAAAAATAAAATAAAAATAGGTAGATTTATAGGATGTGAAAATGCTTTTGGAATTTTTTTTTTTAAGTAGGCTCCATACCCAGCTTGGAGCCCAAAGTGGGGCTTGAACTCATGACTCTGAGATCAAGACCTGAGCTGAGATCAAGAGTCGGACACTTAACCAACTGAACCACTCAGGCATCCCTGGATTTTTTAATATACATAATCTCCTTAAAATTTATAAGGACAATATGACAAACATGCTCATTAGAAAAATAACTAAACAATTCCTTATTTTCTGTTTTCTAGTTTAGCCTAGGGAGAAATAAGGTTAAATGGAGCAAGTAAGACTATATTCTGTATAATTACAGAGAGATAGGAATATGTATGCAAAACCATGTGTATGGTTTGTTTCTTAAATTGTTGCACTTTGTATGATACATTGATAGAATGCTGAAGTGCACTTCTAAAAGCAGAGCATCAGCATTAACTCAGAGGCAGCATTCTGAAAGGATGGGTGCCATCCTTGAAGATGTAATATATGCCTTATTTCAGAGAACTCTGTATGTTGCTGTGTTCCTGACAGGAAGAATACATGGGTCCAGTCACCAAGGACAGAAGCAGGAGTAGCCCCGATGACATTCCCCGATGACATGACTGGGAGATTTTCTGCTTCCCATCCTTTTAATTCTGGACTCTGTAGGTCCTGGTCCCCAAAGGGAGCATACTCTTGCCAGGGGGAACACAAAGTTTTTATTCAACTATAAGACAGCAGCTTTATCTTATAGAGCTGCTGTCAGTGCACTTTGATGTCCCTGTATCCAGGCACCAACAGGTAAGAAGAAGCATCAATATACTGGCAGGGGTGATCAACCCAGATCAGCAGGAGGACGTAGAACAGGGAGACTGCAGGTGGAACCCAGATGATTCATTTGGGCACCTTTTGGTATTTCCATGCCCCATTGTAACTGTGAATGGATGCATGCAGCAGTGTCAGCGTCAGAACAATATGATTGCTCGATTTGAGTCCTACTGATGTGGGAAACAAAGGCAAAAGAAAAATTAAATTTCCTTAGTACCTACAGCCCATTGACAAGTCCTTGAAACAAGCGGAGTGACATTCCTCTAGGAACTCAGCTACCTCAATGTTACACTTCGCTAAGGGCAAAAGGCAATCTTAGCCTGACCCCCAGGATCCTGTAAGTCTCCTCTAACATAAAAAAATTCCTTTGGAAACTTCATCTCTACACCCCAAGATATATGTTGGCAGTCAGATATACATCTGAAGGGTCTCATGACTAAGGTGTTATTAGACAGTAATAGATGACCTTTTCCTAATAATAGCTTGCCCCCTCAAGGTTCTGGAAACCTTGCTTCCAAAATTTCTTAGAGACTTACACTATCCCTAACCCCCTCCCAACTTGAAAGTATATAATCACCACTCCTCATGACCCCAGTGCACCTCTTTCTGCCCACGGGTCCTGTCCCTGTGCATTCATAAAACCACCTTTTTGCACCAAAGACATCTCAAGAGTTCTTTCTTGGCCGTCGGCCCCGAACCCTAACGTCTTTCCTACATCAGTACCACCAGTAAACCTCCAAGACCTGGTGAGGTAATAGCTGAGGGCGAGGGAAATTAGAATAACTACTGGAAGTGGGAGAGCATGAACACCAGTTGTAACTCTAAAGATCAACTCCAGTGTCAGAGGTTCCTTCTGAGTTTCCCCTCAGGAAGACAGACCCAGAAGAACCATGGAACACTGGCACTCTGACCTGTGGGAAGAGAGAAATCTGCTCAAGACAAGAGGTAGGCCACGGCAGCTATGAAAATGAGCCGCTCAGAGCTCCTGCTGCAGATGGAGTAATTGAGAAATGGTCCCAGCTGCTGTGCTCTGGATCTACCATGGTGCTTGTGCAGAAGCTGTGCTTCCCACAGGCTGCTCCCAGGCAATGGCTGAGATGGCAGAAGTACAAAGATGGTCCCATTTCTGTGAGAAGGAGGACTCTTTGACTTGAGGTTTCCCCATCAGCCTTGCAGACTTTACTCAATACTAATGAGGCCCTTGCATTGAAGAACTGAAGTTAGAACCCCCAAACCTCATAAATATCTCACCTTTGCCCTTCCTCCTCAGAGACACTGCTAAGATCTGTCAAGGTAGTATTCTCCTTACTGCAATAAGCAAAAAACTTAGTTTTGCTTTATCAACAGGTTATTGTAGTGGTATTTTTAGGGAGATAGCACACAATAGATAAAAAGGAACCATCATTCAAAAAGCAGAGGGAAGAGCTTCACAGGTAGGAGGAACAGTAAATGCAAAGGCCTTGAGGTGGAAAAAAGGTATTAAAGGACAGAAAGGCCAATGTGGTTTTAGCTTAGAAGCAATAGAAAAGGTGGTATGAGATGAGGTCAGAAAAGTGCAGAAGGCCTTGGAGTCCATGGTAATTATAGTATCAATATCATTCTCAGTAAAACAAAACCCATTAGAGGATTTTTAGTGGAGGAGTGATATACCTGGGTGTATATGTTGTAGAAGAATGTATTTTGGGGGACATGAATGGAAACGGGGACAACAATTAGGAGGTTATTGGAATGGCACAGGTGAGAGCTTAGGTGATTTGGATCTAGAGTGATAGTGATACAGGAAGCAAAGAGAAATGGACAAATTAAGGATATATTTTGGAGATAGAATCATAAGGATTTGCTGATTGGTTGGCTGATGGAGAGGACATGTGGGGATGCATGTGAAGGGAAGGAATGAAGAATGACTCCTGCCAAGTTTTTAGCCTTGAGCAACTGTGTGAATGGTAGTGAATTCTACTGAGTTGAGGAAAACTGAGGGGAGGAATAGATTCAGAAAAGAAAAGCAAGAGCTATTTTTTGGGCCTGGTTGGTTTTGACTTCCAAATGGAAATGTTAAGTAGGCATTTGGAGTTATAAGTATAGAGGTCAGGATTGGAGATAAATATTTTTGTGATCTCTCAACATATGGATGGTAATGAAAAACTAGAGAACAGAGAGATCACCTGAGGAAAAAAATGCAGATAAAGAAGAGAAGAAAAACTGAGGGTTCTAGATGGGAGGGGGGTGGGGGGATGGGTTAGTCTGGTGATGGGTATTAAAGAGGGCACGTACGGAATGGAGCACTGGGTGTTATATGCAAACAATGAATCATGGAACACTACACCAAAAACTAATGATGTAATGTATGGTAATTAACATAACATAAAAAAAAAAAGAGAGAAGAATGCACAGGATCTAGCCCTGAGGCCCTCCAACATTTAGGTTAGTTAGAGAAGGAAATACATCTAAGAAGTTAAAAGGAACACCAAGAATGCTTAAAACAGGTAAATTGAGTCCACTTTGGAATCTGTGAGGAAATGTCGAGGCAGGAAGCATCTCAGATTAGATTAGTTGCTAATTAAAGCAATCTCTTCAATCCCTTAGTTAACAAATACATATTCAGTATATACAATGTATTATAACAGAGGTGTCCAAGAGACATTACAATATAAGGTGGTAAGTCCAGTCTGAATGGCCCTTAATAAACCATGTTTATATATAACACTCCCCTACAAGTGAGGCATATCAGATTTTTAGACTTGATTATAAAAATATTTCAGAAAAGTCTGTCTTTCTGCTCTCTAGTCTTTTTTTTTTTTTTAAAGATTTTATTTATGAGTGAGAGAGTGCACAAGGCGGGGAGGGGCAGAGGGAGAGGGAGAGGCAGGCTCCCTGCTGACCCCAAGATCATGACCATGACCAGAGCAGAAGGCAGACAACAACTGAGCCACCCAGGTGCTCCTGATTTCTAGTCTTTTTTAAACCAACTACCTTAAGCTTTCAATTTTTATCTTCTTTATACATTAGTCAATTTTTAATTTAATAAACATTAAACTTTTTTACTTATTTTGCTTTTACCTAAAATATGGTTAGGTGGCAGTAATAAATTCTGCCTTTAAAAAGATGATTAGAATTATATAAATATATTAACTATCTTAAGAAGACCCTTCCTGTCTTTTCAGGTTTGATTAATATTTGAAAATACATTGTAATGCTTTGATATTCTTCAAAAATAATTTAACCAAAGGATATAGGAAAGAACAAAACAAAGCAAAAACATCTAGCTTGTAGTAGCTATAAAACAATTTGTGGCTTTCATAGTAACAGACTTCTGTATCAGTTGCATAATAGTGATTATTTATTCATGGAGTCTTTTTAGTTCCATGGAAACACTGAGATCATTTTAATTTTTAATTACACTAGAGTTTACAGTTCCATAGATTTTAACTCTGTAGTAGCAAGTACAGAAGCTAGAGCTTTACCCATTTCCACTTTAAAAAATATAAAGGAGGAAGAGAGGGTTTAAAATAATCATGAATTTCATTTAGTTACAACCTTTAGCTGTATAATTTCTCCTAAACCTGCCCTGCAATTTTATGTCCAATTAATTCTTCGATTTTTGTCTCTACCCTTTGACTAAAAGTGTTTTCACAGGAAATAACTGCAGTGTGAAATTCAGCAATGGGTGCTGTTAAGTAGTTTGTGAGATATCTAAAGTTGTTGTGAAGTAGTAGAAGCAGAGGACTAGATCTGGCACTTAGCTGAATTATCTTAGGTGAATCACTTTATTTCTCTGGCCCTCGATTTCTTCCTCTGCAACCTGAGGACTGAGGTTGAATGATAGAATTCAATGGTTCTCTGAAATAGCTTGGCTATGTGGTGCCCAGGACCTGTGGCAACTATCCACATGGGCCCTACAAATATGTTGATAATATTTCTCATGATAGGAGTATTTGTCAACAGGGACTGGAAGCAGAACAGTAATAAAAAGCTATTAAGTGGAATAATTTGTACACGAAGTAGGTCTGATGAAGATTTTATAGATACGAAATCTTTTTTTTTAACCCCCTTTCTAAATCATTAAATTTCCTGATACATAAGTTTTACAGGTTCGTTTCCTATTTGATCAAAGTGATTTTCAGAGTGGAAACGATGTTATTGTAGTCGTTCTAATTTATTACTAGTTGTTGTTAATCTCTTACTGTGCCTAGTCTATAAATTAAAATTTATTGTAGGTATGTATAGGAAAAGACGTGGTATGTATAGGGTTTAGTATTATCCATGGTTTCAGGCATCCATTGAGGGTCTTGGAACATTTCTCTCATGGATAAGAGAGGATTACGGTAATTTGTCTTCTTTAAACATAATTTGGATCATATGCAGTTATAAATCCTACCTTTTTAAAAAATGAACACTACATTGTATTAAAGGTTTCTTCAAAATGTTTTTAATTGATGCATAGTATTGCATAACATGTTTTTCACATCTATTTTATTCATCCTCAGATTGTTGAAAATTTAGACATTTTCAATATTTTTAATGCCAAATATTTTTTGTATAAAAGTCAGTTTTTGCGTCTCTGACTACTATGTTTTTGGTTTGGATTCCTACACATAAAATAACTGAACAGCATAAGCATTTTTACTCTTGGTAATATTATCAAATTTTTTTCCATAAATTATTGTCTATCTCAAAGTAATTTTTGATTGTGCATTTAATCACATCCTCATGAGAATTAAATATGATAATTTAAAGACTTCTAATTTGAAATACCTTTTGTTCAGATTAACATTTTTTATTAGTGAAGTGTTTTCATATCCACTAGCCCATTTTTATATTGCAATTCAGTTAAAAAATCAATTTCTGTTGGCCTTGTATTTAAAAAAAAAAGGGAGCACCTGGGTGGCTCAGTCATTAAGCGTCTGCCTTCGGCTCAGGTCTTGATCCCGGGATCCTGGGATTGAGACCCGCATCGGGCTCCCTGCTCTGCAGGAAGCCTGCTTCTCCCTCTCCTGCTCCCCCTGCTTGTGTTCCCTCTCTCGCTGTGTCTCTCTCTGTCAAATAAATAAATAAAATCTTTAAAAAAATAAAAATAATAAAAATTTAAAAATTAAAAAATGTTAAAAAAATATCTTTTTTTATTTTTCATTTTTAAATTTTTTGTTGAGATCTTTAAATCATTTGATTTATTAAATCAATGAAAAACATTTAGGGAAAAGCAGTAGGAAAGAGATGGGGAAAGTTATCTCCCTTAGGATAGGGTGTAAATCAGTGGAAGAACTGCCCAGATGTGAATCCTGTGTTATGTAATGTTTGTAAATCCTACCTTTCTCTCTGCAGTCCTTTGTTTATTTTTTAAAAACATGTTTATGGGATCATTGTTTTTCTTTTATTACTCGAGTAGATCTCTAGTTGTAAAAGATTCAAATATGGAAGCATACATAGGAAATTACTTCCTCCCTGACACACTTCCTTATAGATAACCATTATCAACAGCATTTTAGAGTATAGTATTCCTATTCTTATTCTACTAATATGTACATATCTCCATATTCTTTAAGTATGTATATGTAAATATACATGGATATATATATAAATGTAAATGGATCATATAATACCTACTATTCAGAATCTTAGTTTCTTTACCTAATAGTATGTCGTCAAGAGCTTCCTTTTTCTCCCTACAATGTAAGAAGCATCCTTTCCCTCATTATATACATGACACATGACACATGATCATAATAAAAAATTTGATTAAGATATGAAAGATGTTTTTAAAATAGTAAAAATCACCTGAAATCAGTCCAGAGATAACCACCATTAATATTTTGGCAATCATTCTTTCATGCATCTCTTAATAGATCTTAAGTAATTAATGTTTATTCTGATACCAACTGGTATACTGCAATTCAGTTCTGGCATTAACCACCCAAAGTTAGCACAGACCACACAAATTTAAAGACATGGTCTCCAACAAGACTGCCCCTACTTCAGATACCAGTCAAAAGTGGAGTCCCCTGGCCCCTGCATGTCCAGCTGCCTACAAATCTGGGACAATCCCATGACCCCTGAAGGTTTGATAATTTGCTGGAATGACTGAGAACTATACTTAACAGGGCGCCTGGGTGGCTCAGTTGGTTAGGTGACTGCCTTCGGCTCAGGTTCTGATCCTGGAGTCCCGGGATCAAGTCCCGCATCAGGCTCCCTGCTCAGCAGGGAGTCTGCTTCTCCCCCTGACCCTCCCCCCTTTCATGCTGTCTCTATCTCATTCTCTCTCTCAAATAAATAAAATCTTTGAAAAAGAATAACTATACTTAACAATCACAGTTTATTAGAAGAATACAAGACAGAAACAGCCTAATAAGAGACATTTAATGTGAGGTCTGGGAGAGTCCTGAATGCAGAGGTTCCCATACTTTTTTCCTCATGGAATCAGGGCACTTCACCCTCCCATCATATCAATGTGCTCACTGACCAGGAAGGACCACTGAGCTTCATGACTTTAGCTTTTATTGGAGTTTCATTACATAGACACAATTGATTAAATCATTGGCCTGTGATGGAACTCATTCTCCAGCCCCCTCCTTTTCCCAGAGGTCAGGAGGTTGAGTTGATATCATATGACTCAAAGCCCCAGACTTCTAATCACATGGTTGGTCTTTCAGGCATGACCAGCTATCCTGAACTATCCTGAAGGTATCTAGGGCCCACCATGAGTAACCTCATTTGCATAAATTCAGATGTGATCTAAAGGGCTCATGAATAATAGAGACATTCCTTTTACCTGGGAAATTCTAGGAACTTAGTTTACTCCCAGGAACCAAAGACAAAGGTGAGTTAAATCTTTATTATACAGAAGTGTCATATATAGTTTGTTTTTTATTGTAGATGCCTATTTTTATCTCTGATTTCTTACTGTGTCTGTATATTAGTTCTATCTCATCTTTTCCCCAAGGCTACAGTATGAAACTTAACATGTTTTATATTTTAATGTATTAACTCTGTCTATAAATAGTTCTTTTTCTCATTTTCTAGTTTGCCCTTTAATTTGGTAATTAAAATGCTTAGTCCTATGCCTAGTCCTTCTCCTTTAGACAGTAAATAAATATCTTATAGCTTTTAAGTCTTTTTTTCCCCCATATATTGAACTTATTTCGGTACAGAGTGCAGGTAAAATTTAAATGGAGTTTTGTTTTGTTTTGTTTTGTTTTTAAGTAACCAATTGTCCCAACACAATGAATTTTCATTTTTCAGATTCACCTTTGCCAGGAGTGGGTGAGTTGTAAGGAATTAGGGGTTTGATATGTTGTGAGGAAGGTATTATTATCCCCATTTTTTAGATGAAGACACTGAGATTCAAAGTGGTTAAATAATTTCCCCCAGTTTATCTGGAAAGGACAGAATTGTCTATCTGAATCTGAAGCCTAAAAAACACATTTATTAAATACATTTTTTTGAAAAGGGCATTTAATAACCAACATTGGAGTCACACGTAAGTACCAAATGACTTAGTGGGTACGTAAGATTATAAAATAATTTGTTCTGATATGAAGATTGAAAATTGAGCAGAACATAGGTGAAAATCTAGTCATGACAGTGGAAAATTACATTAAGCATAAATCTGGATCTCCAAACACAAAATAAATTTCCATTGTGTGGATCAATTTAAATTAATACTCTACTTGTTACTGAGTCATACAGAAATGACTAAAAATGTTCACCAAATTTTGGGAGTATGTTTATAATGGTTCAACTGGTAAGTTTTGTGATGCACATACTAAGAAAATTCATGTGAAGAAGTCCAAAGAGGCATATTAAAGAAATAGCGATCTTCCTGAGCCGCTCAAATTCAGAGACACCTGCATTATAGAGGACTATTCAAAGACACGTGCTGTACATTGAGACAGAAAGTGATTAAGTCCCAAATTGAAGGTCACAAGAGATGTTGATTTGTCATCAAGTTACTTCACAAAAGCAACTCCTTGTACTGTACTTTAGGGTGAACAGCACAGACTCATTTGCTTAATGATGGTTATGATGGGTGATAAATTTCAGGAGGGCCAGCTAGTTGGTAAAAACAGTTTAGTGGAAAGTATCCCTTTTTTTCTCTTCGCAAGTCTGTGTTGGGGCATACTGAGAAACATTTATACTTAAAAACTAGAATGTTAAAATGAAAAGAAGGAGCAAAATAATTCAGATCGCTGGAGATAAACCAAGTGGTTAAAATTTCATAGATACAAAGCAAGTGGAGAAGATGCCATTTTGTGAAATATTGCATCAGCCTTCACTATATTTATATAGTAATACATTTACTTTTATTTTTAAAGTAGGCTCCATGCCCACAGTGGGACTTAAACTTATGATCCTGAGATCAAGAGTCACATGCTCTATGGACTGAGCCAGCCAGGCACCCCATAATATATTTACTATTAAATATATTACTACATATATTATAAAAATTGACTACTACTGCATGCATTATAAATATCTGTAGACTCTGACTTCCTACAGTAATCTTCCCTTTAGATACTATTGTATTGGGTTAATGGCTTTATAGTAATAATAATATTAACAACAATAAAAATAACACTTTGAGAAATGTATAGTTTGTAGAAAAATCTGTAATATATACAATATCTCATTTGCTCTTTATATTTCCCTCATGGGATAGGATTTGTTATTCACTTTATTTCTATTTGCACATATTGCCTAACGTCACAAAATTTCTGTGCTAGAACCAAGTAGTCTTTTCTTATTTTATAGCTGAGGACACCAAATAATAGGGAATAAGTGACATGTTTATTACATGCAAAATCATTTGGAGCTGAAATTATTTAGACATAATCATTTGGAAGTAGTCTTCTTATACTTAGCTGAGTAATTTTAAAATTTGAGATTAGATAAGCCACAACTATTAAATCTTAGAATTTTTAAATTTCCTATTTTCTTTAGCTTTGCAATAATTCTGCTCACAATGCAGGACTGAAGCATTTATTTTATAGAGAAAATGAGCAGAAATTAACTAAGTCACTTGTCATGAAACAGGAATTATATTCATTTATGAAGAATTGTGTGGACCTTGTATGTAGATATTAAATGCACAGCAAGTGACAATATGTTTAATCATTTGTTCTTTTAGTAATGTATATTGAACTTACAGTGCAAGCCCTAATGTTTCAAAGGTCATTTAAAAGGAAAAATATTGGGGCACCTGGGTGGCTCAGTTGGTTAAGCATCTGACTCTTGGTTTTGCTCAGGTCATGATCTCAGGGTCCACGCTTGGAGTCTGCTGAAGATTCTCTCCCTCTTCCCCTCCCTCCCCCTCTGCCCCCCCACTCCCCCTCTTGCATTCTCCTCCTCCCTCTCTCTCTAAAATAAATAAAATCTTTTTTTAAAAAAGAAAATCCTTTAAAAAGAGAAATAAAAGGAAAAATATTATGATTTGCTACCTAGCATCATGCACTTTCTTTTTAACTTGCTTGCCCTATCCTTCCCCAAGTTATACAGCATTCAGACTATAAGTAATAGTGGATCATAAAGCCATTGTTTATTTTGTTAGAGTAGGCAATTAGGTTCTAGCAAGAGGCCTAGAGGCCACCAAAGAAGAAGTCATGGCCAGCTATCTGGAAAGTCAGAGCCTGTCCTAGCAGCACTCCACAAGAAGCCGGATCAGATGAGACAGATCCAAGATGACAGGGGCCATGACAAGAAACCCCTGACCAACTAAGGAGGAAAAGGCTCCAAACCCTGCTTCTAAGAAATCCTTGCCTTGAGTAATGAGTATGCCACCCCCTTGTCAACAACTGTCACTAAAAGATAGAAACCCAAACTCAAGAATCACAGCTCCCATGCTTGCTCTTTCTTTTTCATTCTCACTCTTGCTCTCTTTTTTAATTCCAGTATAGTTGACATACAGGGTTATATTATTTTCAGGTGTACAATGTAGTGATTCAAAAATTCTATACATTACTCAGTGCTCATCATGATAAGTGTACTCTTAATCCTCCTCACCTACTTCACCCATCCCCCCCACCTCCCTCCCCTCTGGTAACCACCATTTTCTTCTCTATAGTTAACAGTCTGTTTCTTGGTTTGTCTCTTTTTTCCCCTTTGTTTGATTTATTTCTTAAATTTTACGTATGAGTGAAATCATATGGTATTTGTCTTTGACTTATTTCGCTTAGCATTATACTCTCTAGCTCTATCCATGTTGTTGCAAATGGCAAGATTTCATTCTTTTTGATGACTAATATATATATATATATATATAAAGGGCTGGTATATATATATATATTTTTTTTTTCCCTTCTTTTTCCATTCATCGGTTGATGGACATCTGGGCTGTTTCCATAATTTGGCTATTGTTGATAATGCTGCTATAAACATCAGGGTGCATGTATGCCTTTGAATCAGCATTTTTGCATCCTTTGGGTAAATACCTAGTAGTGTAACTGCTGGATCATAGGATAGTTCTATTTTTAGCTTTTTGAGGAATCTCCATACTGTTCTCCAGAATGTCTGTACCAGTTTGCATTCCCTCCACGGTGCAAGAGGGTTTCCCTTTCTCTGCATCCTTGCTAACACTGTTGTTTCTGTGTTGTTGATTTTAGCCCTTCTGACAGGTGTGAAGTGATATCTCATTGTAGTTTTGATTTGCATTTTCCTGATGATGAGTGATGTTGAGCATCTCTTCATGTGTCTTTTGTCCATTTGTATTTCTTTGGAGAAATGTCTGTTCATGTCTTCTACCCATTTTTAATTGGGTTATTTTTTTTAGGTGTTGAGTTGTATAAGTTCTTTATATATTTTGGACACTAACCCTTTATTTGATAGGTCATTTGCTAATATCTTCTCCCATTCTATAGGTTTCCTTTTGTTGACTGTTTCCTTTGCTGTGCAAAAAGAAGCTCTTTATTTTGATGTAGTCCCAACAGTTTTGTTTTGTTTTGTTTGCTTTTGTTTCCCTTGTCTCAGGAGATGTATGTAGAAAGATATTGCTATGGTTGATGTCAGAGAAATTACTGACTGTGCTCTTTCTTCTAGGATTTTTATGGTTTCAGGTTTCACATTTAGGTCTTTACTCCATTTTGAGTTTATTTTTGTCTATGATGTAAGGAAGTGGTCCTGTTTCTTTCTTTTGCATGTAGCTGTCCAGTTTTCCCAATACCATTTGTTGAAGAGATTGTCCTTTTACCATTGGATATCCTTTCCTACTTTGTCAAAGATTAATTGACCATAATGTTGTGGGTTTATTTCTGGGTTTTCTATTCCATTCCATTGATCTATGTGTCTATTTGTGTGCCAGTACCATGCTGTTTTGATTACTACAGCTTTGTAATATAACTTGAAATCCGGAATTGTGATGCTCCGAGCTTTGGTTTTCTTTTCCAAAATTGCTTGGGCTCTTCAGGATCTTTTGTGGTTCCATACAAATTTTAGGATTGTTCATTCTAGTTCTGTGAAAAATACTGTTGTTATTTTGATAGGAATGTTTAAATTTGTAGATTGCCTTGGGTAGTAATGACATTTTAACAATATTTGTTCTTCCAATCCATGAGCATGGATTGTCTTTCCATTTCTTTGTGTTATCTTCAATTTCTTTCATCAGTGTTTTATAGTTTTCAGAGTACAGGTCTTTCACCTTTTTGGTTAGGTTTATTCTTAGGTATCTTATTATTTTTGGTGCAATTGTAAATGGGATTGTTTTCTTAATTTCTCTTTCTGCTGCTTCATTATTGGTGTATAGAAATGCAACAGACTTCTGTACATTGATTTTATTTCTTGCAATTTTACTGAATTCATTTATCAGTTCTTACAGTTCTTTTGGTGGAGTCTTTAAGTTTTCTATATATAGTATCATGTCATCTGCAATAGTGAATGTTTTGCGTCTTCCTTAATGATTTGGGGCCTTTTATTTCTTTCTGTTGTCTGATGGCTGTGGCTAGGATTTCCAGTACTATGTTGAATAAAATGATGAGAGTGGACTTCTCTGTCTTGTTCCTAACCATAGGGGAAAAGTTCTCAGTTTTTCCCCATTGAGTTTGATGTTAGCTGTGGGTTTTTCATACAAGGCCTTTATTATGTTGAGGTATATTCCTTTTACACCTACTTTGTCGAAGATTTTTATCATGAATGGAAGTTGTACTTTGTCAGATGCTTTTTCTGCATCTATAGAAGTGATCATATGGTTTTTATCCTTTTTCTTATTGACGTACTATATCTCACTGATTTATTTGGGAATACTGAACCACAGTTGCATCCCAGGAATAAATTCCATGTGATGATGGTGGATGATTATTTTAATGTTTTGTTGGACTTGGTTTGCTAGTACTTTGTTGAGGATTTTTATATATATGTTCATCAGAGATACTGCCCTGTAGTTCTCTTTTTTTGTGGTGTCTTTATCTGGTTTTCGTGTCAGGGTGATAGTGTACTCAGAGAATGAGTTTGGAGGTTTCCTTTCCTCTTCTGTTTTTTGCAATAGTTTGAGAAGAATGGATATTAACTCTTCTTTAAATGTTTGGTAGAATTTGTGAAGACATCTGGTCCTGAATTTTTGTTTTGGGGGAGTTTTTTTGATTACTAATGCAATTTCATTGCTGGTAATCTGTGTGTTCAAATTTTCTATTCTTCCTGATTCAGTTTTGGGAAGTTATATGTTTCTAGGAATTTATCCATTTCTTCTAGGTTGTCCAATTTGTTGGCATATAATTTTTCATAATATTCTCTTATAATTATTTGTATTTCCTTGGTGTTAGTTGTTATTTCTCCTTTCATTTGTGATTTTGTTCTCTTTCCCTCTCTCTCCCTTTCTCAAGCTCATCTGCTCTTACATCTCAAGAGTATACTTTCACTTTAATAAACTTTCCTGCATGTGTTCCTCCTTTGCTGTCCTGTGTCTGTCCTTGAATTCTTTCTTGTGATGAGAACAAGAACCTTCAGCAACCTCTTTGGGATGGGCTGGGTCGAGGCCCCAGGGTCTGGGGTCTCCCAAGTTCACTTGGCAACAATTTAAATTCCATTTACTTTACCTGGTTCCAAAATATGATAATAGATAACATTTATTGAGTGCCAGATGCTTTATATTCATCAGTTAATCCTCACACCTGGCCTGGGTATTATTATCCCAACTTTATGGAAGAAAAACAGGTAGATTAAGTACCTTGCCCAAGATTATACATAGCTAGGAAGCCAAGAATCAAATATCTAAACCCAATACTTTTTTATTCCAAAGTCTGTGTTACAATCAGATTTAACTCTAAACAATTTGTGAACTATTAAATTCACCATATGGAAGAGTATACTCCTGCCAACCTAGAGTCTATAAATTAAAAGATAAGGGACTGTAGGATATGCATTAATATATTAATTGTGGTTTTAACTTGCATTTCCTTAAGTGCAATGAGTTTGAGTACCTTTTTTTTTTTTTTTTAAGATTTTATTTATTTGTGAGAGAGAGAATGAGAGACAGAGAGCATGAGAGGGAGGAGGGTCAGAGGGAGAAGCAGACTCTCCACTGAGCAGGGAGCCCGATGCGGGACTCGATCCCGGGACTCCAGGATCATGACCTGAGCCGAAGGCAGTCGCCCAACCGACTGAGCCACCCAGGCGCCCTGAGTACCTTTTCAATATATGTTCACCATTTGTATTTCCCTTCCTGTGAATGGCCAATCCAAATATTTTGCTCATTTATTATTATTTTTTTTATTTTTATTTTTTAAAAAGATTTTATTTATTTTTTAGAGAGCGAGCGAGAGAGAAACAGCATGAGAGGGGAGAGGGTCAGAGGGAGAAGCAGGCTCCCCGCTGAGCCGGGAGCCCGATGTGGGACTCGATCCCAGGACCCCGGGATCATGACCTGAGCCGAAGGCAGACGCTCAACCATCTGAGCCACCCAGGCGCCCTATTTTGCTCATTTAAAAACTTAGTTTCTTCTCAAGAAACAAGAAAGGTCTCAAATACACAACCTAACCTTACACCTAAAGGAGCTAGAGAAAGAACAGCAAATAAAGCCTAAACCCAGCAGGAGAAGAGAATTACTGAAGATTAGAGCAGAAATCAATGAAATAGAAACCAAAAGAACAGTAGAACAGATTAACGAAATTAGGAGCTGGTTCTTTGAAAGAATTAGTAAGATCAATAAACCCCTGGCCAGACTTATCAAAAAGAAAAGAGAAAGGACCCAAATAAATAAAATCATGAATGAAAGAGGAAAGATCACAACCAACACCGAAGAAATAAAATTATAAGAACATATTATGGGCAACTATATGCCAACAAATTAGATAATCTGGAAGAAATGAATGCATTCCTAGAGACATATGAACCAGCAAAACTGAACCAGGAAGAAACAGAACACCTGAACAGACTCACAGCCAGCAAGGAAATTGAAGTAGTAATAAAAAATCTCCTAACAAACAAGAGTCCAGGGCCAGATGGCTTCCCAGGGGAATTCTACCAAACATTTAAAGAAGAATTAATACCATTCTTCTGAAGTGGTTTCAAAAAAAAGGAAAGAAAGAAAGAAATGGAAGGAAAACTTCCAAACTCTTTCTAGAGGCCAGCATTACCTTGATTGACCCGAAACCAGACAAAGACCCCACCAAAAGGGAGATTTACAGACTAATATCCCTGATGAACATGGATGCAAAAATTCTCACCAAGATACAAGCCAATAGGATCCAACAGTACATTAAAAGGATTATTCACCACGACCAAGTGGGATTTATTCCTGGGCTTCAAGGGTGGTTCAACATCTGCAAATCAATCAATGTGATACACTACATTAATAAAAGAAAGGACAAGAACCATATGATCCTCTCAATAGATGCAGAAAAAACATTTGACAAAGTACAGCATTTTTTCTTGATTAAAAATCTTCAAAGTGTAGAGATAGAGGGAACATACCTCCATATTATAAAAGCCATATACAAAAAGCCCACAGCAAATATCATTCTCGATGGCAAAAAAACTGAGAGCTTTTCCCCTAAGGTCAGGAACATGACAGGGATGTCTATTATCATCACTGTTGTTCAACATAGTACTAGAAGTCCTAGCCTCAGCAATCAGACAACAAAAAGAAAGAAAAAAAATCCAAATCGAGAAAGAAGTCAAACTCTCACTCTTCGCAGATGACAAACTCTCACTCTTCCACTCTATGTGGAAAACCCAAAAGATTCCACCCCAAAATTGCTAGAACTCATACAGGAATTCAGCGAAGTGGCAGGATATAAAATCAATGCACAGAAATAAATTGGATTTCTATGCACTAACAATGAGACAGAAGAAAGAGAAATTAAGGAGTCAACCCCATTTACAACTGCACCCCAAACCATAAGATACCTAGGAATAAACCAAACCAAAGAGGCAAAGGATCTGTACTCAGAAAACTATAGAACATTCATGAAAGAAATTGAGGAAGACACAAAGAAGTAGAAAAACATTCCATGCTCATGGATTGAAGAACAAATAACACTAAATGTAGGTAACATAGGCTACCTAGAGCAATCTACACCTTCAATACAATCCCTATCAAAATACCATCCACTCTTTTCACAGAGCTGGACAAATAATCCTAACATATGTATGAAACCAGAAAAGACCCCAAATAGCCAAAGGAATGTTGAAAAAGAAAAGCAAAGCTGGTGGCATCAAAATTCCAGACTTCAAGCTTTATTACAAAGCTGTAATCATCAAGACAGTATGGTACTGGCACAAAAATAGACACATAGATCAGTGGAATAGAATAGAGAACCCGGAAATGGACCCTCAATTCTATGGTCAACTAATCTTTGACAAAGCAAGAAAGAATATCCAATGGAAAAAGACAGTCTCTTCAAGAAGTGATTTTGGGAAAATTGGACAGCCACATGCAGAAGAATGAGGCTGGACTGTTTCTTTACACCATACACACAAATAGACTCAAAATGGAGAACAGACCTAAATGTGAGACAGGAATCCATCAGAATCCTAGAGGAGAACACGGGCAGCAACCTCTGTGACCTCGGCCACAGCAATTTCTTGCTGGACACATAGCCAAAGGCGAGGGAAACAAAGGCAAAAAATGAACTGTTGGGACTTCATCAATATAAAAAGCTTTTGCACAGCAAAGAAACAGTCAACAAAGCCAAAAGACAACCAACAGAATGGGAGAAGATATTTGCAAATGTCTTATCAGATAAAGGGTTAGTATCCAAAATCTATAAAGAACTTATCAAACTCAGCACCCGAAGAACAACTAATCCAATCAAGAAATGGGCAGAAGACATGAACATTTCTCCAAAGAAGACATACAAATGGCCAACAGACACATGAAAAATTGCTCAACATCACTTGGCATCAGGGAAATACAAATCAAAACCACAATGAGATACCACCTCACACCAGTCAGAAGGGCTAAAATTGACAAGTCAGGAAACAACAGATGTTGGCGAGGATGCGGAGAAAGGGGAACCCTCCTACACTGTTGGTGGGAATGCAAGCTGGTGCAGCCATGCTGGAAAATAATATGCAAGTTCCTCAAATAGTTGAAAATAAAGCTACCCTACAACCCAGCAATTGCACTAGTAGGTATTTACCCCAAAGATACAAATGTAGTGATTCGAAGGGGCACCTGCACCCCAATGTTCATAGCAGTAATGTCCACAATAGCTAAACTATGGAAAGAGTCCAGATGAATGGATTGACAGATGAATGGGTAAAGATGTGGTGTACACACACACACACACACAAACAATGGGATACTACTCAGCTATCAAAAAACGAAATCTTGCCATTTGCAACGAAATGGAACTAGAGGGTATTATACTAAGCAAAATAAGGCAGTTGTAAAGATTATCATATGATCTCACTGATAATGTGGAATTTAAGAAACAGAAGATCACAGGGGAAGAGAGGGAAAAATAGACAAAATCAGAGAGGGAAACAAACCATAAGAGACTCTTAATCCTAGGAAACAGACTGAGGGTTGCTGGAGGAGAGAGGGATGGGGGGATGGGGTAACTGGATGATACACTATATGTTAATTAATTGAATTTAAATAAAAATTTTTTAATTTTTATTTATTTGACAGAGATAACAAGAGCAGGAACACAAGCAGGGGGAGTGGGAGAGGGAGAAGCAGGCTTCCCCTGGAGCAGGGAGCCCGATGTGGGTCTTGATCCCAGGACCCTGGGATCATGACCTGAGCCAAAGGCAGACACTTAACAACTGAGCCACCCAGGTGCCCCAAAAAATAAATCTTATAAATAAAATTTATAAAATAAATCTTATAAAAAAGTAAAAAAACCCTTAGTTTCTATTACTTTTTTATTAGAATTCTATATATATTCAAAATAAGAGTGTTTTATTAAAAATATATGTTGCAAATGTATTTTCCCATTCCAGGGTGTCTTTTTTTTTTTTTTTAAAGATTTTATTTATTTGACAGAGAGACACAGTGAGAGAGGGAACACAAGCAGGGGGAATGGGAGAGGGAGAAGCAGGCTTCCCGCGGAGCAGGGAGCCCGATGCGGGGCTCGATCCCAGGACCCTGGGACCATGACCTGAGCTGAAGGCAGACACTTAACAACTGAGGCACCCAGGCGCCCCATCCAGGGTTTCTTTTTGCTCTGTCTGTGGTGCTTCGGAGGAATACGCTTTTTAAATTTTAATGTAGTTAATGTTATCAGTTTTTTCCCTTATGGCTAGTGCTTTGTTTCTTTTTTAAGAAATCACTGTGGGGAAGTCTAAACTGGCTCATGCAGACAGACCACATTTAACAGTTTTTTATGTTGACAGTCCAGCTAAAGTTCCAAGCCAACAGCCAGCATCCAGCACTAGCCATGTAACTGAAGATGTCTCCAGATTATTTCAGCCCTCAGCCATTGAGTCATTCCCAGCCTTTGAGCTTTCCAGCCAAAGCCCCAGACATGATAGAGCAGAGCCTAGTTATCTCTTCTGTGCTCTGCCCACATCCCTGGTCCATAATCTGTGAGTACAATAAAATAGTTGTTTTATGCCATTAAGTTTTTTTTATGCATAGCATAATTGTATTTTGTTAAAAATTATACTTGCATCATTGAATAAATTAAGAAAAATGGGGGGAAATGCACACTGAGTTGTCATGGTTGTCTCCTGGATCACGCGTATTTACAAATAATGACACAAAGTTGGCTAAAAGGAAGAGAAATTTTACTCAAATTTGAAGATATCTGATGATCTTTCCAAATATTTATTTTTTATTTAATTTATTTAAACAAAAACAACAACAGTTCATCCATTTCTCCCACCCTTCAACCCCTGTCTCTGGCAACCACCAGTCCATCCTCTGTATCTATGAGCTTGGTTTTTGTTTTTATTTTTTTAAGATTTTATTTATTTATTTGACAGAGACACAGCAAGAGAGAGAACACAAGCAGGGGGAGTGGGAGAGGGAGAAGCAGGCCTCCCGCTGAGCAGGGACCCCGATGTGGGGCTCGATCCCAGGATCCTGGGATCATGACCTGAGCCAAAGGCAGACGCTTAATGACTGAGCCACCCAGGTGCCCCTATGAGCTTGGTTTTTATTTATTTAAAAAATATATATATTTAGATTCCACATATAAGAGAGATCCTGCAGTGTTTCTCTTTTTCTTGTTTCTCTGAGCACAATGCCTTTGAGGGACACCACTAAGTTTTAAAATTGTTATATAAGAATTATAGAATAAAAAGACCAGGGGAACCTTTTAAAAGAATGTGATAGGTGCAAGTTAATAGTTTTAGTCTCTGGAGATAGTAAGAGAATCGAACAAACCATGTGCAGTCATCCTGATGACATTGGGAATAGGGTAGTATGGCAGACTGCAAGTTGTTCTCCCCAAATCCATTTTTATAGTATTAGCTAGGCATATGGATTCCTAGTGTGAAATAGTATTTCCCATTATCCTTTCCAGCTGGATGTAGGTGTTGACTAAGGTCTTGCTCATGGAATATGAGAAGGGAGAGCAACTTCTATATTATCTAAAAGGAATTGGCCCTTCATTTCCACTTTCTCCTCCTTCCTATAAGCTAGTTAATAAGGACAACATCCTGGGGTTTGGAAGAGCAATGAGAAGGGGAGAGCTAGGATCCTTGACTCTTTGTGGAATGAAGTTGCCCTATTACCTGGACAGGTTTTCCTACCTTAAGACTGTTAAAATGCTTAAAAATTCCTGTCTTATTTAACCCATTGCTTTTTATATCTGTGTTACATTAGTCTACTCCCAGCCCCCACCCCCACCCCTTAACTTAAACAGGTAGTTAAGAATAGGAGTGGAGAGACAGAAAGAAAATAGGATTCCCAGGAGCACAGCCTAGGAAGTTGGCAAGATTGGAAATTATCAAGACATCCCTTTAAAGCAAAATCTGTAAAGGGGGTATTGGGAATCTAAAAGGGAAATGAAGTTGCTGTCTTTAATCATATGCTGACTCAGCTGGTCAGTTACTGGTCACTCAGGTCTCTGGAATTTATAATCACTTCTATAACCTCTATTTTTTAATAGCTATTACAGCTGACTGATGAGAAATAAAATTTATAATGCATAAAATATTACACAAAATGTCCTAATTTGGCTTTTAGAATTTCTTGCCTTTTTTTCCATATCCTAGTCAAGTGGAATAATTGCACCCCTCTCTCTCTTTAATGATAAGCTATACATAAGGTAAAGTTTACCATTTTAACTATTTTTAAGTGTAAGTTCATTACCATTCATTATATTCACACTATTGTGCAACCATCACCACTATCCATCTCCAGAACTTTTTCATCATCTCTAATTTTAACTCTATAACCATTAAAAAATAACTCCCCATCCTACACCACCCTAAGTGGTTCTCTTTTTTTGTAATAAAATATCAAATAAAACATCAGAAAACCTTTAATGAAACTGAGTGGTTAACTGCAAACAGTAAGAAGATATAATTAGGAAAGTAGACTTTTGTATGCCATTTCTATTTGTGAAATTATTCAGATGAGAATATATTCTTTACAGAGGCTGCTTGATTTCTCATCTAGAAACCTAAAAACTAAAATGAAAATTTTTTTCTTTAATTTTCTATTCTTCCTCTTAATTTGTACTGAAACAAGCTTTTGTTTCATTCATACTTATTTCTTTAGGGCACTATTTTCCATCTGCTTATTCACAGCTGGAAACCATAATCTTCTTAATCTACTAATGTGTTTTACCATGATGAATCATGTGATAAACAAAAGCTAATGATCCTTTTGGCAGGAAAGAAATATGAGAATGTAATGCTCAGTAAACAAAGATCTTTCTCCTTAATTAAATCCATTTTAATGAAATAGGAAAAATGAAATATGTAAAAATATGTAATTTTTTTCAGAAATGTCTTAAAAAAACTGTGAAGCATTTCATGTTTTAATCATTGTTGAGTTGACTGCCTTTAATATGTGTCAAAGTGTCAATTTAAGTAGGAACTACCTGATCTCAGATTTTTAAAAAGTGTTACCTTTTTGATTACTATTAAAATTTTGTTGTAACATGGAAAAGTAAAGCCCTATGAGTCATAGTTATAGGCCTTTACCTCTGAACTTTAGATCTCATAATCTTAATTCCAAATGAGCTGATAATTATTAATCCACTTTATTACTCAAACAGAAAAAATAAAAGTCAGTAAATCAAATGAATATATAAATCAAAAGAATTATCCAAAAAACTGAAAACCAGTGCCAGATGTAGTTCCTAAGAATGCTACTAGATTAATGTCAGAAATATCACACATTCTTTACTTTTACTATGAAGAATGTAGGGGAAAAAAGTAATTGAGATGTATGGTTGTACCGCATACAAGGGGTAGAGATTACAAGGAGGTTTTTTTCTTTTCTAAGATTTTATTTTTAATCTCTATACCCAAAGTGGGGCTCAAACTTAACCCCAAGATCAAGAGTCAGCCAGGTGCCCCTTATTTTCTTGCTAATTCTTATAGTATTGTATTGCTGTAAGAGATAAATAATACTTGATACATAACAACAGATCTCGGATATTGATTAACTTGAATTTGAATTTGAGCAATTGGATTTCAAAAAAGCTGCTTTCCTAGAAAAAGAAACCTCTCCCAGTCTCAAAATTTTCTTTTCTTCACATTTAAGTAAAAGGAAATAATAATTTAGAAAGAGAAAATATTAATTTATATGTAAAATTTTCCTGTAATTTTTCTTCTTTTTTTAAATTTTTTTTTATTTTTTAAGATTATTTATTTATTTATTTGAGAGAGAGAGAATGAGAGAGAGAGCACATGAGAGGGGGGAGGGTCAGAGGGAGAAGCAGACTCCCTGCCGAGCAGGGAGCCCAATGCGGGACTCGATCCAGGGACTCTGGGATCATGACCTGAGCCGAAGGCAGTCGCTTAACCAACTGAGCCACCCAGGCGCCCCTCTCTTTTCTTCTTGATTAAAGACTTTTTTTTCTCTACTGTACACTGTGGAAGTCTTAACTTTCAATTAACTTCCCAGGCACCATAGAAAGTTCATTATACATGAAAGTGAAGTGGTTTTCTTTCATGTTTCAACTGAATTTTAATTACTGTATTCTGTGTGTTGTGAAGAGTGTAGGATTACATGTTGCCTTGAGAAAGATATCACGAGGTCTAGGACAACAGTTATAATTTTAATCTTGTCAGGGCCTTGCTTTAAAACTCTCATTTCACACAGAATGAAATCTCAATCATTGAGCCAGCATTCAGGACCCACTGTGAGCTAGTTGCAGCCTTTATGTTCCCAACCTCATCTCCTTCCTTCTTCCACCCTAGTTAGACTGCTCAAGTAAATCATGGTCTCTTCAAAATTCAAAGGAGAATTTCCTCGGGAGTCAATCCTTTACCAAAGCATTCTCTTTTCAGACTTCTTTCTTTTTTTCTGGACACTCAAATTCTGACATTCTTTCAAGGTCTAGCTCAGGTACCACTTCCTTCCTTAACTGTAGTAGTAATCATTTGGTGGTATCTCCCTGCACATCTCTCCACTGAATGTCCCCACTCCTTTAAGAATTCTCTTTATCCTATTTATATTCCTTTCTCTGTCTTATGTTTCAGATATGCCTCTTCAGTCCTGAGTCCTAAAGAGGTTGTTAGAGAGATGTATACCTACGTAGAAAATAACATGGGTATAAAATTCAGATCTAGCTAATTGGTATGAATTTTGCATTTCCCTTTTGCTGGCCTGCTGTGTGACCATGCGCCAGTTAAACTTTCTGAACCACGGTTATCTAATCCGTAAAATGAAGAGAATTCCATTTGCCTTGCAATGTTAGTTTGAGAATTAGAGATAAAATATGTAAAGCATATTGTTCTATGTACATAATAAATGCTCAACAAACTATTATGCATACTTGATTTTTGTCCCCATTCTAGTGGTAGCCACCAATAGGCAGCCCTGTTGAATTAATTTGCACTGTCAAGTTGGATCTACCTTGCCTCTTATGGGGACCCTGAAGGACATCTTTTATTTATTTTTTTTAAAGATTTATTTATTTGAGAGAGAGAGAGAGAACACTTGAGTGGGGGGGAGGAGAAGAGGGAGGGAAGCAGACTCCCCACTGAGCATGGAGCCTGACACAGGGCTCCATCTCACAACCCTGAGACCCTGACCTGAGTGGAAATCAAGATCCAGGCGCTTAACTGACTGAGCCACGCAGGCACCCCCCGAAGGACATCATGTGATTAGGAAATCCTGGGAATCTGAGGTTCTCAGCTGGGGATGATTTTGCCTCCAGTTTTGCCCCCAACATATATGGCTTTGTCTGGGGACATTTTTGGTTGTCACAGCTGGAAGATACTATTGGCATTTACTGGGTAGAGGCCGGGGATACTGCTAAATAGTTTACAATGAACAGGACAAAAAAAATTAGTCCAGTCCAAAATATCAATAGTGCTGAGGTTGAGAAACTTTGCTTTAAAGTCATCATCCTATGGACTCTGAAAAGGCGGCACAATATAGTCAAAAAAGCCTAAGATTGAGGAACTCTGGGTTCTAGTTCTAGTTCCTGCACAAGTGGTGCATTGCAGGACAAGTCATTTAACTTATTCCTCTATCCTCTGTGTTTTCTACAATGTAAATTAGCTCTAGAGCTGCACTATCCAAAATGGTAGTCATTAGCCACAGGTGTCTATTTAACTTAAAATTAAATAAAACTAAAATATTTCTCTGTTGTACAAGCCACATTGCAGTTGTTCAGTAGCAATGTATGGCTAATGGCTACTGCACTGAACAACACACGTGGAACATTTCCATCATTGCAAAAATTTTTATTGAACCGTGCTGGTCTAGAGGTTTGGTTATATTCAGAATCAGGCCTTGATTTTTCAGTATTTAAAATGGAGATATGAATAACATGATCTCTAAGGTAACTTCCAGTTCTCTAATTTTGTGATTCTAATTTTTTAAAATTTTATTTTAAGTGAACTTTGTGCCACATGTGAGGCCCAAACTCACAACCCTGAGGAGCGTCTGGGTGGCTCAGTCGTTGAGTGTCCAACTCTTGGTTTGGGATCAGGCTGTGATCTCAGGGTTCTGGGATTGAGCCCTGCGTTGGGCTCCCCGCTCGATGCAGAGTTTGCTTGTCCCTCTCCCACTGCTCCTTCCTCCCACCCCTTTCTCAGATAAGTAAAATCTTAAAAAAAAACCACTCACAACCCTAAGATTAAGAGGCACAAGCTCTGCCAACTGAGCCAGCCAGGCATCCCTAGTTTTGTAATTCTGAAGGAGAATACATAAAGTAATGTACCTTAATAAAAGAATTGTAAATGGGTGGCTAGGAAATTCTGGAATCACCGATATTCTAATCAATGTAATCATAATCAGAGTATTTGTATTAACATGTCTGACACTGAAGCTTAAACAACTTTATGGTACCTACTACAAAGGTATGGACTGGACTTCCAGTTTCTGGTTCAGCATGTAAAGATCTTCAAAGTCATCACTCCATCCTAACACCAAGTAAAATGCCAGACAAACTGAAAACTCAATTCTACTTAGCTCCATCAGAGATGTGAAGTCACAGGACTTCCTGTGACAATACTCCCAAAATTGAAAACAATACTCCCAAAATTGAAGAGACAGGTGAATACAGAGAATTACAACTTACCAGGGCAGAAATCCTGTGCAAAATCTTCAATAGGGACTCCTACTGTGATGGGAAACCTAAATTATAATTAATGAATTACTGGAGGCTCAAAGTGGACAATTCTGTGAGTTAAAAAATCTAGAGGGTCCCAGTCATGGGCAGAGGGCACAATTTTGTGATTTTTATTTCTAGGAGCTTGACCAAGTTTTCACAGTAAATATTGGAGAAAAATCCCCTCGTGCTTCTGGGAGGGGAAGAGGAAAAGGAACCATTTTCAAATGACCAGAGCATTCTGTTCTTTTTAACAAGGCCTGGCATCAAGAGAAGCTATTTTACCAGAGCCTGACTGATCAGGGGGTCAGGAAAATACCCAACTCCAGCCTATTCTAGCCATCCTTTCCCATTTAATTGGGGAAAAAGTTGAGAAACACTTCTGAAGTTCACAGTCCACAGGCACAGGCTCACTAAAAGACTGAGACCTAATCATAGGACTATAGAAAGCTTCCCTTATTGGGTGCCTGGGTGACTCAGTCATTAAGCGTCTGCCTTCGGCTCAGGTCATGGTCCCAGGGTCCTGGGATCGAGTCTCACATCGGGCTCCCTGCTCGGCAGGAAGCCTGCTTCTCCCTCTCCCACTCCCCCTGCTTGTGTTCCTGCTCTCGCTATCTCTCTCTGTCAAATAAATAAATAAAATCTTTAAAAAAAAAAAAAAAGCTTCCCTTATTGTAATATCTTAACACCTCACTACTGAAGGTGTATTTATTGCAGTTCTTTTTACCTTGCACATCATGGCTGGTTATCAAAAACTTACAAGGCATACTAAAAGGCAAAAAACACAGTTTGAAGAGACAGAGCAAGCATCAGAACCAGACTCATATATGGCTGGGATGTTGAGAATTTTCATACAAGGAATTTAAGACAATTATTATTAATATGCTAATGGCTGCAATAAAGTAAACAGCATGCAAGAAGTGATGGATAATGTACACAGAAAGATGGAAATTCTAAGATTCAAAAAGAAATGCTACAGATCAAAAGCACTATAACAGAAATGAAGGATGGCTTTTATCAGTAGACTGGACATGGCTGAGAAAACACCCTCTGGGCTTGAGGATATGTTAATAGAAACTTCCAAAATGGAAACGCAAACAGAAAAAAACCTGAAAAAATCAGAACAAAATAGCCAAGAACTGTGGGACAACTACAAAAAGTGTAATGTGTGTAATGGGTACACCAGAGGAAAAAAAGGAACAGAAGAAATATTTGAAGCAATAAAGACTGAGAATTTCCCCAAAGTAAGGACAGACACCAAATCACAGATCCAGGAATCTGAGAGAACATCAAGTAAGATAAATGCCAAAAAAAAAGCTACACCTAGGCATATCATAGTCAAATATTAGAATATCAAATATAAGGGCGCCTGGGTGGCTCAGCTGTTAAGCATCTGCCCTCGGCTCAGGTCATGATCCCAGGGTCCTGAGATTGAGCCCCGCGTCGGGCTCCCTGCTCGGCGGGAAGCCTGCTTCTCCCTCTCCCACTCCCCCTGCTTGTGTTCCTGCTCTCGCTAACTCTCTCTCTCTCTGTCAAATAAATAAATAAAATCTTAAAAAAATAAAATTTAAAAAAGATATCAAAGATAGAGAAAAATCTTTTTTTTTTTTTTTAAGATTTTATTTGTTTATTTGTTGGATTGAGAGCAAGCACAAGCAGGGGGAGCAGCAGAGGCAGAGGGAGAACAAGGAGCCCCATGTGGGACTCGATCCCAGGACTCTGGGATCATGACATATGCTGAAGGCAAACACTTAACGACTGGGCCACCCAGGCGTCCCAAAGATAGAGGAAAAATCTTGAAAGGAGCCAGAGGGGAAAAAGTATTATAGAGCAGCAAAGATAAAAATTATGTCTAACTGCTTTTCAGAAACCATGCAAGCAAATAGTGGAGAGAAATATTTAAAGTACTGAGAGAAAAAATACCAACCTAGAATTCTGTACTTTGTGAAATTATCCTTCAAAAGTGAAGGGGGTGGAAATAAAGACTTTCTTAGACAAAATAAATACATATAAATAATAAAAAATTAAGGGAAATTCTTGCCTTGCAAGAAATGTTAAAAGTTCTTCAGAGGGGCACCTGGGTGGCTCAGTGGTTAAGTGTTCCACTCTTGATCTTGGCTCAGGTCATGAACTCAGGGTTGTTAGATTGAGCCCCGTGTTGAATTCCATGCTGGATATGGAGCATGCTTAAGGTTCCCTCTCTCTCTCCCTCTGCCCCTCTCCCCAGCTCGCTCGCTCTCTCTCTAAAAAAAAAAAAAATTGTTCTTCAGAAAGAAGAAAAAAGATATAGGTCAGCAACTCCAATCTACATAAAGAAAAGAAGAGCATCAGAGAAAGAATAAGTGAAAAGTAAAATAAAACCTTTTACTTTTCTTATTTTTAAATGGTCTAACAATTATTTAAAATAATAGCAACAATACATTCAATTATGTGTGTTTATGTATATACGTATATACATGCTTATGTGTAGGTGAAATGAATGGTGGCAATGATACAAGGGATGGAGGGAGGAATTAGGAAATATTTTGTTATTATAAGGCTCTTATAATATCTGTGAAGCAGTATAAGGTTATTTAAAAGTGGATTTGTTTGAGTTGTAAATGTATATTGCAAATTCTAGGCAACCACTAAAAAAAAAAGCAAAGAGAGGGCGCTTGGGTGGCTCAGATGGTTAAGCGTCTGCCTTCGGCTCAGGTCATGATCTCAGGGTCCTGGGATCGAATCCTGCATTGGGCTCCCTGCTCCTTGGGAGCCTGCTTCTCCCTTTGCCTCTCTCTCTCTCTGTCTCTCATGAATAAATAAATAAAATCTTTAAAAAAAGAATTCTGGCAGAACTTTAAAAAAAAACAAAGAGAAGAGGAAATGATATTATATAAAATGTTCAATTAAAACCATAAAAGGAGGAAAAAGTGGAAGAAAAAAATAGGAACAAAGAATAAAGGCAACAAATAGAAACCAGTAACAAATATGGTACATATTAGTATAACTATATCAATAATCACTTTAAATACCAATGATTTAAATACACTGTTTAGAAGACAGAGATTGTTAAAGTGGATCCAAAAATAAGACTCAGCTATAGGTTGTCTACAAGAAACCAACTTTACTTTTTTTTAAGATTTTATTTATTTATTTGACAGAAAGAGACATAGTGACAAAAGGAACACAAGCAGGGGGAGTGGGAGAGGAAGAGGCAGGCTTCCCACTAAGCAGGGAGCCCGATGTGGGACTCCATCCCAGGACCCTGGGACCATTAACTGAGCCAAAGGCAGATGTTTAACAACTGAGCCACCCAGGTGCCCTACAAGAAACCAACTTTAAATATAAAGACACATATAGTGAAAAATAGATGGGCAGAGAAAGAAACCATCGTAACACTAATCAAAAGAAAGCAGAAGTAGCTATATTAACCTGAGATAGAACAGACTTCAGAGCAAGGAAATTAATCACGGATAAAGAGGGGCATTACATAATGATAAAGGGGCCAATTATCCAAGGGGATATACAAATTCTTGGGGTGCCTGGCTGGCTCTGTCAGTAGAGCATGCGACTTTTGATCACAGGTTTGTGAGGTCGAGTCCCACATTGGGCATGGAGCCTACTTTAAATAAATAAATTAACTAATTAGATAAAAAATAAATTCTTAATGTGTGTGTTCTTAACAAGAAAACATCAAATTATGTGAGGAAAAACTGATAGAACTGCAAGGAGAAATAGATGAATCTGCTCCAACTATATAAAAAAATGGACAAATTCAGCAGGCAGACATAGGACAGAGTTGAACTCAACATCACCATCAATCATATTGGATATAGTTGACGTCTATCAACTGTTTCACACAACAACGGCAGAATACATATTCTTCTTAAGTTTACATGGAAAATTCACCAAGATAGACCCCATTCTGAGCCATAAAACACATCTTCACAAATTTAAAAGAACAGAAATAAGGCGCAAAACTGGGAGCTTTTCCCTTAAGGTCAGGAACAAGACTAGAATGTCCATTCTCATCACTGTTACTGAACATAGTACTGGAAATCCTAACCACAGCCATCAGACAACAGAAAGAAATAAAAGGCATCTAAATCATTAAGGAAGAAGTAAAACATTCACTATTGCAGATGACATGATACTATATATAGAAAACCCAAAAGACTCCACCAAAAGAATTACTAGAACTGATAAATGAATTCAGTAAAGTTGCAAGATACAAAAGCAGGAGGAGGGGCAGAGGAAGAAGCAGACTCCCGACTGAGCATGGAGCCTGACCTGGGGCTGGGTTCCAGGACACTGAGATCAGGACCTGAGCCAAAGGCAGATGCTTAACTGACTGAGCCACCTAGGTGCCCCTAAACAACATAATTCTAAATAATATATGGTCAAAGAAGAGATTCCATGAAAAATTAAAACATATTTTGAACTAAATGAAAATGTAAATACAATTTATTAAAACTTGTGAAGTGTGGGGCGCCTGGGTGCCTCGATTGGTTAAGGGTCTGCCATCTGCCTTTGCCTTAGGTCATGATCAGTTCAGTCCTGGGATCGAGTCCCGCATTCGGCTCCCTGCTTCTCCCTTTCCCGCTCTTCCCTGCTCGTGCTCTCTCTCTCTCAAATAAATAAATAAAATCTTTAAAAAAACACAAAAACTTGTGAGGTGTGTCGCAAAATCAGTGCTTAAGGGAAAAATCATAGCACTGAATGCATTAGAATAGAAGAAAAATCTAAAATCATTCACCTAAACTTTCATCTTAGGAAACTAGAAAAAAATAGCGGGAAAAAAATAATAAAAAGTAGAGCAGAAATCAATGAAATTGAAAACAGGAAAACAATATTGAGAATCAATAAAACCAAAAACTGGTTTTAGGAAAAGATCAACAAAATCAACAAGCCTGTAGCCATGCTAACTGAAAAGGTATGGATTGAAGGCAAATGTGCAAGACAATTTATGAAAGGGGAAGTTGAGAGCGTTAACTTGTTTACATGTCTCCAACTCTGTCCAAGCGAAACTGTGTTCTATCTAGCACAGTTGAGTATCTCCTTCAATTGACAGGTTGTCCATAATGGGAATGATTGCATGCGGGTTTTTACAAGATATCACTACCTATCAAGTTAATCTTATTAATTTTACTGGCTCTGAGTCATGGTGAAAAAGCAATCCCAAGATTATAATTTACCTCTTTTTTTTTTTAAAGGAAGAGTTTTCCTTTTTAAAAAGATTTTATTTATTCATGTGAGAGAGAGAGAGAGCACAAGCAGGGGGAGCAGCAGGCTTCCTGCTGAGCAAGGAGCCCGATGCAGGGCTCGATTCCAGGACCCTGAGATCATGACCTAAGCCAAAATCAGACGCTTAACCAGCTGAGCGACCCAGGCGCCCCTATAATTTACCTCTTTATATAATTATTTCGCTGGGGTGATAATGCCCTGATTGATTTACATAAGTTATCCAATGGTCTTGGTAGATGTAATTTGCATTGTTAATTAATTTAGTAACAATCTAAGGTTATATAGGTGAAGGGAACTGAAACTCCTAACCCTGTCATCAGATGAGAAACTATTTGAACACAGAAGCATCCAGTGGATTTAGGCAGGGCCATTTCAGTTCATGAGTATGCCTTTTGAAAATAAAGAGAATCCTCACTACAGTAGAGTAGGAAGGATAGAAAGGGAGGTTAGAAGTGGGAGCCAGTACCACTCAACATCAATTACCGGAAGAATTGTCAATTATAGACCCCAACAGAAGAATCTTAAACAGGGAAGAATCATCAATTACCGTCTCCAATGGGGAAAGAAGTACATTGCATCTTCTACAAAAAATCTACTACCCCTGCAACTCGGCCAGTGAGAAACCATCATCATGTAGAACTCATGTCCAGTGGATTTTCAGAACAATCTCTCCCAACTTCCTCCTTCTTCTCCATAAAATAATGTTCCTCTCCTTTGTTTGTTGGATTTGCCTATGGTTTTACCTTAGAGTGCGTGTTCTGAATTGCAATTCTGGTATTCCCAGATAAAACCATTTTTGCTGGCTTTCTTTTTAAGGTTAACACCTTTTGTCATGAAAATTAGGGCCATGTTGTTTCAGAAGGCAACTAATAGTCTTAGTAAGAAAATGTGTTTTCCAGGTGGCAAATGTGTTTGCCTTGAGGTATATCTGAAGATAAAGTGGTTATAGCTTCATTGGTGGAGACACCTAAGTATTGGTTAAGGACCACTCATAAAACCAAAGCTTATCCCCACTCCAGGGATCTGTCAGAAGTCTCAGCAGTGGAATACTTATTGGCATCTGGCTGACGCCAGCAGAATTTGACAGACTCAAGAAGGGACTTGGAATAATACACAGACATATAATGAAATAGGTAATTTCATTTTGTAGT